GGCCATCAGGACCCAGAATTCTGATTGGTTCCAACGTTCAGTGGATTAGCTGCATTTCCAGGGGAAACTACTTCCCTCAAGCACCACCCAGCGATGCCTTGGGGAGTCTCCCGAAGTCCTAGAGTAAGTCTTCCCAAAGGCAGTTCTTGGAAGCGTGGGCGGCTGTGTCCGATCAAGGTCTGGAGAGCAGTGCGGCCCCACTCACTTTGACTCCGGCGCACCGTCCAGCCTGCGCTGATACTGCCTCTCTGAGGCCTTTCTCCGGTAGACGTCATCTGCACCGAACAAACATTCTGCTTAGAGGCTCAGGGAGCTGGCGAGTAAAAATACTCCGGCCCTTTCATCCTGGAATCTCAACATGAGCGTCTACCCAGGTTAGGAGGGGTGAGTCTTCAAAGACCTGTAGCCACTAAGTGAGTTTCTTTCCGAGTTCCCACCACACCTCTTAGCAGTCTTGTAAGACCGCCTGACGATGTCTCTCCTGCGCTGAGATCTTAGACCCCTAAAAGCACTTCTTTTTCCCCTCGCTGATTTGAGCCCAGGGACCTCGGGCAGCAGGGCAGGTGCATTGCTTTCCTTCCGTTGGGTGGCTGCTTTCCCTGACACTCCTTCCCCACCTGTGGGCAACACTCCCTGTTCCTTTGGGACGGATGTTATGCCAACTCTACATGGCTGTGACTCCCTCCCTCAGTCCCGAGAATATGAGCATCTAGCTCAGGCTCCTGGACCCCGTCCCCGCCCAGCTACCAGACAGCACCACCCACAGGGACGAGACCACCTTTCTGGACCCTTGCCCACGTCCCCAACTGCAGCCATCCTTCGAAACCCCACTGCGATTTGGTCAAGCATTCTGCCCTGTGATTATAACCCTACCACCTGCCCTTCCGAAACCACACCCCCTGGCGTGCACTGACTTTCAGCAGCCTGCAGGGCTGGCCCTTGGCAGAGCCAACACCCTAGGGCTGCTGAGGGTGTAAAACTACCTGAGAGCCTCACTTTCTCCTGCAGAGCAGCTGGTGTGTTTAAACCAACAAACTGGTGGTTGGCATCCCAGTGGACCCCACTACCTTCCTCAAGCCCCTTCTTGTCCTGCCTTCCTGCCCGAGACAAATCCCTTCATGCCCTCCTCTGGGTCCTGGCTTTCTGACAGATCCAGTTTCTCTACCACAGTGAACTCTGTGCCCTCCCTCCAGACCCCAGCAGCGGCTGGTATCTCACCCAACCCATGGCCTAACCATTTGTTTCCTTGCCCATGACAAACATGACCCATGACCATTAAATGGCCAGGACCACCTCCTCAGAGGAAAAACACTTCCTGAGAACTTCCCGGCCTGAGGCTCTCCAGCCTGTCCACCCGTCTTTGAGGTCACTGCACAGCACGTCTGTCTCTCTCCCTTCCTGGGCTGTTTGTTCCCTGGAGGATCTGCCTCCTGCACTCCCAGTCGCCCATGAAATGCCAAGTTAAAACCCCACCCCCACCCCCGCCTTTCACTCCAGTCTGCTTGGGAATGACCCCCAAATCCAGTCTCCAGCCCTGTCCTGCCTCAAGAGGTCGGCTCTGTAGCGCCACCTCCAGCTCAGCCCCAGATGGACCTGCCTGTACTCCACCTCCTCCAGGTGAGCCCAGTAACCACCACGCCCTCTCGGCTCCACCTGGCGTCTCCAGCCCCCACCTGGATGCCCCACAGCCCAACGCGCCCCGCGGGGCCATCCTTCAGCCCTCTGTGCAGTCCTGCTGTCCTCCACCACGCCCACCAGCCTCGACCCCTCACGGAGCACTGTCCACCTGAGGTGCCCCACCTCAGATTCCCAAATCCTACCCTAACTTCCACAGCTCAGACCACCAGGCTTTACGGTAAACGTCTAAGTCGTGGCATGGGAAGCTTCTCGGAGTCCCTCTGTCTGTCTCCCTCCCTCCTCGTGTCATCTGAAAGTCTAACTCGGGGGCCCCGCATCTCAGGGCGCAGTCGTGCTCCCGTCTCAATGACGGCTTCTTCCACAAGGTCAGCGGTTGGAAACCACCCGCAGCTGCAAGGGAGAGAGAGGAGGCTCTCGACTCCACAGGCGCCGTTCTACTGCGTCCTCTGGGCGCGCTCAAGCCCCCGAGGCTGGACGTCGGTGCTGGCCACTTCGCAACGAGTGGCTAACGTCGGGCCGAGTGTTAACTGCCGCGGGGAGGCCGAAAACTCGCTAGACGCACCGCCGCGGCCCGAAGACGAAGGGTGGGAATTTCCAGCATGACGTAGTTTCGGGAAAGCGCCAAAGCAGAGTGGGCCTCGGGGGCGGGCAGCCTGCCCCAAGTAACCGGGCGGCGCGGGCCAGGCCCTGCGGGTGCAGGCGGGCCGCCCGCGGGCGAGCGAAACGGCCCGTGCCCTTGCGACAAGGGCAAAGGCAGCTCCGCTCGGGGCGCGAGGGAGGCGCTGCCCGCGATCCCGGGGCACCCCCAGGCGAACAGGGCCCCCGCTGCCTCGCGTCGTCCGGCATGGGCCGCACTTACAGAAGGTCTCCTGCCCGACGCGCATTTTGATCATGATCCACTCCATCGTGGCTCCGAGCACGAAAAAGAAAGGCAGGAACCTGTAGATGCCGAGCCGCTCCTTCCCGGGAACGCATCGCAGAAGTCGCCTCACCTGGGCTCTGGGGAGCATGCTCGACCCGAGAGCCGGAAAGAAGCGCGGCCGGGAGTCCAACCTGGGCGAGAGCCGGCGGCGGTGCCCGGAGCCCCCGCCCCCGCCGGCACCGGCCGACCAGCAGCTCCAGCGACAGCGCGCGGCGGGGCGCGGACCCGCCCAGCAGTGACGAGGGCGCGCGTGCTCCGTAGGGCTCCGGCGCCTCTGCGGGGAGTCTGCGCAGGCGCCTGGGCCCCCGGAAGGCCGGCCAGGGGGCGGAGCCACCGCGTGGCGTCGGCCCCGCCCCCAGCAGCCCCGCTCCGCCCGCCCCC